CCCTCCACTCTCTAGTGTCCATTATTATCATGCATTAGTCAAATAAAGAGGCAGTCTTTAGAATCAACTGCAGAGATGATCTTGGAAGAACCAAAGGAAGAAACAGCTTCTTTCTATGTATAAAGTTGTTTTAGTTTATTATTGTTGTTGTTATTGTTTTCCTGAGATAGAGTCTCACTACATAAACCATGCTAGCTGGAATTCACAGAACTCTACCTGTCTGCCTTCCCGGTGTTAGGATTTCAGGCATGTACCACCATGCTTGATTTTTTTACATAAGTGTTGAAGATTAAACTCAGGTCCTCATCCTCATATGGTAGTACTGACTGAATCATCTCCTAGCCTCATGCCTGGATTTTTTTTTCTTTCTTTGTTTTTCTTTTTATTTTTCTTTGTCATGCCTGGGTTTTTTTTTTAAAGTTTGTATCTTTAACCATGTTTAACATATTTTCCCATGTTTATTTGCTTTTAGTATTTCTTTTTTCAATAAAATCTCTTTTTATCCCTCCCTTTTGTCCCCTCCAATTTTCCAATTATATTGGAGTTTTTGGTCTTTTGAAATATGGTCTCTACATATAACCAGAGCTGGCATAGGATTTGCAATTTTCTTGCCTTTGCCTCCTGAGTGCCAGGTTGCAAGTGTGTGTTACCACATCTGGACTCAAGTTTTTTTTAATTTTAATATTTATGTGTCTGTATATAAATGTACATACATGTGCCACATTTGTGCAGGTACTTAGAGAGGACAGAAGAGGGTATGGGCTCCCTGGAGCTTCAATTATTGGTGGTTTTAGTCACATGACGTAGGTGCTGGTAATCAAACTCAGGTCCTCTGGAAGAACAGTACGTATTATTAACCACTGAGCTATCACTCTAGTTTTTTTTAATTTGGTGAAACTTAGTTTATTGACTGTTTTTTTTTAAGTTCAACAACTCTTTCTAGCTCTAAACATTGATTGTTTTCTGCTGTGCTTTTCTTTGCTAAATGTATTATGGTTTTATTTTTGTACTTAAGTCTATGATACATTTTGAGTTAATTATGTAAACTTGAGCTGTTGAATATGAATATTCCCTTGCTCTGGCACATTTCATGCATAATTATCAACTCAATCAGTTTTTTGAATAGTTTTATCATCTTGAAAAGAAACTCAGAGGGGTGGTGGAGGCACCCACCTTTAATTGTAGCACTTAGGAGGCAGAGGCAGGAGGATCTCTGAGTTTGAGGCCAGCCTGAACTACAAAGCTGGTTCCAGGATAGCCAAAGCTACACAGAGAAACCCTGTCTTCAAAAAAAGCTAAATAAATAAAATCTTTTAAAAAAAAAGAAAGAAAAGAAAAGAAACTCTATAATTTTTAGTCTTCAGCCTCTAGTCTTTGTAACTTTCCCAGTCTGCTTTGTTTGTAAAGATTCCGCTATCCTGGACACTTCATGCCATTGAAAACATGTAATATGTGATCTTTGTTACTTCTTTATCTATGTGCATATGCATGTAGACTCTTGTTCTCACAGAGCTCTACCTTACATCTACCTCCTGAGTGGTAGGATATATAATTTTGATGAGACTCAATTTATCTATTTTTAATTTTGTCTTCTGTGTGGTCACCTAACCAAAAGTTACAAATGTGAACTCACATGTTTTAGTGTTTACGTTTAGGAATATGATCCATTTTGAATTAGTTTTTCTGTATCTGGAAAGGGCCCAACCTTATTCTTTTACCTGTTAGTATCCCATCGCCCTGTTATTTGCTGCAGAGATCATTCAAGATCTACTGAACTGTCTTGATACTCACTGGCAAAGTAACTTTCTTTTTTTAATTTCCTTTAATCTCTAGTATAGTTGCAATAAAGTGAAATCATGATGGGTATTTGTTGAATTTTTGGTTTGTTTGTTTTGTTTAGTCTTTATGACAGAGTGTCCTGTATGATAGCCCAGTTTGACCTAAGATTCACTATGTAGTCCAGGCTGGCCTTGAATCCACAGTAATTGTGCCTCGGTTTAATCCAGGTTTTTATGCTCTAGACTCTGCCTAACACCACTTCCTGCCTTTCTCTGACATTCTCACTCTACTCCAGTGACACTGGTGTTTTTCTGTTAGCTAAGCAGGTCAGCTCATCTCTCTCAGAGCTGCTGATGTTGCTGCAGGTCCTGGCATGGAACCCAGAGCCCTGTGCATGCCAGCAAGTCTGCACTCTTAGCCCAGGTCTGTTTTGTACTGACTGGATTATTACCTGTGGACTGCTAGTCTTCCAGTACCTTGTTCTCCCAGGTCTTCACAGTCTTGGTTCTTTGTATTTTAAAAGTTCTTGTCAAATATTATCTTGTAAGAGAGGTCCTCCCTAAAATTATTACTCTACCTCTTCTCAGCCATTTTCTCTCCTTTTACTATGTTTTTATCATTTGTCATTAAACTATAATTATTATCTATTAATGTACCTGACTGACTGCCATTTCCCAAGAAATGCTTCTTTTATGGGGTCTTATGTCTCAGTGTTTAGAATAGTTTATGTCAATAGTAGGTGCTTAATAAATACTAACTGATGGAGTGCATTGTGCCTGCATTAGCTATAGAGAAAGAGAATATCATGGCAGAGGGTTGCCTATATCCTCCATCCCTGTCCCTGAAAGCAATTGGTATTCTGGGCAATAAAAGGGTAGTTCACTTTAACCAGGACATCTGTGTTTTGATTGGCACTCTTTTACCGAGGATATCACTAAAAGTCAACTCGTCAAGCATTTTACACATCCTGGGTGTAACTTGGCAGTTAGCAACACCAGGTACTTTCACTTCTTGTAAGTCCCATGACAGCCTGAGGAACATTAGACTGAGTTCTTAAAAACTAAACTCAGATCACCTGTTTGTGTGTATAGCTATAAGTTGTTTGGTATGGTTGAATAATATACTTAAAGAAAAAAAATGAACTTCAGTGTAGTACAGAGATGGCTCATCGGGTGCTTCTGGTCTAGGCAGAGGTTCCCAAGAGAGGCCTCAGTGCTTTAGATCTGTTTCCCTCCCTTGCTTTCTAACAAATCATGTTGGCCAGAAGAGAACAAGAAAATACAAAGCTTAAAAACAAAACAAAACAAAAAAACCTTTCAGACTGGGCAGTGGTCTGAATTCACGCCTTTAATCCTAGTACTTGGGAGACAGAGGCAGGTGAATCTCTGTGAGTTTGAGGCCAGTCTGGTCTACAGAGTGAGTTCAGAATGGCCAAGGCTACACAGAGAAACCCTGTCTTAGAAAAGAACAAAACAAAAACAAACAAAGAAAAAAACAAATCAAACTTTCAGAGCTAGATGCTTCTTTGAATTTTAATTCTGTAGTCTATAAATAACTACCTTGCTTAGGTACAGTAATACCTTTTGTACTTCGGAGGCAGAGGCAGACAGATATCTCTGAATCTGAGACTATCATGGTTTTATAGAGCAAGTACCAGGACTACATAGAGAGACTTTGCCTCAAAAGAGAAAACTATCTTGAAAATAAATACCTATTGTCATCTGGATAATGGACAGTAGAATTCAGTCATTGAGAAGATATTTCCAAATAATTAATTGGTGACTAATCATTTGTTTGTTTGTTTGTTTTCTTTTGAGCTAGGGTCTCAAGCATCCTATTCTGGCCTCAAACTCACTATGTAACAGAGGAATCAACTTGAATTCCTGATCCACCAGCCTCCACCGCCCAAGCACTAAGGTTACAGATACAGGCCACTATACCCTCTAACTAGCCTCTTGAGAGCAAAGGTGAAGGCTAGATAATAATGGGATGGCATCAGTGAACTAAAAGACAAAAGCTAATTCAATTCTTTCCATGGGAAGTAATTTTTCAAGAATGAAGCAAAGTTTTTTTTTCAAATTACATTTTAGTGTTTTGTTATTGCTAGACCTTTATTAGTATAAATATATGTATTTGAACAAGAAGTAAATACATCCCACATGTTAAGAAAAACTAGATATATTGCATATAATATAGATAAATCTATGTGACTGATGGTTACCAAATAGCATGATATTTTGGGTACTCAAAACTTTTAAGTTTTGCAGAAATAGTAACAGAAGTTAGAAGAATTAATGAAATTAAAGTGTCCAAGGACCTAGAGCTAATTGTTAAAGAAGAAAATAATTAACAATTTCTGCTTTTAATTCTGTGGCAAGTCTTGCTTTGTTACTGAGGCTGGTCATAGCAAATTCTTAAAAAGACAGTAGCTTGGGCTGGATTAAAACACATTTGTGTTTTGCTGTTGATAAAAGATATACATAAAATATAATAACATAGAAATACTGTAAGGAACAAGAAATGACTCAAAATTGATAAAAGTGATGGACAAATGGCATGGGCGTTCCTGAGATCTCCCCCCCCCCAAAAAAAAAGACAACAGTAAAATAAGTGTGAAAGTGTCACAGGTGGAGGACAGGCTCAACATCAAGGCCACAGGCATGTGCCACCACACTGTTTGAAAACATCTGTGTTATCTGAACACTGAATTTTTGTTTCTGTTTTATGTATATGAATATTTTTATCTGCCTATACGTCTGTGTATCACATGTATGCAGTGCCTGTAGAGACCAGGAGAGGGTGTTAGCTTCTGGAACTGGACAGTTGTGAGCACCTATATGAGTGCTGGAAAAGGATCTCAGGTCCTCTGGAAAAGGAGCCAGTGCTTTTTAACTGCTGAATCATCTATCCCCCGAATTTTCTCATTTTTCCTCCTGAATACTTCATGTATTATAGTTGCTTAGATGCATCTTTATAGTCTTTACAGTTGCATGTAATAACTATCATTTTTGCACAGTTCAAATATAACTATGCTGTGGTTTTCATAATGTGTTAGACTGAGTTGTAAACAGAAACTGCTGGGTTCTGGCTTCTGAACTGGCGTTCTCCTAAGCATTTCTATTCAGTGTTGTATTAGAACACAGGCTTACAGAGTAATGGGATTGTTTTCATTACTATTTCTAATCTTGCCAGGGCTAGTAAGACAGTCATTTGTTTTCCAGACTGATGACATTGTAAAAGCTGTTGGCAACTGCAGCTACAACCAACTGGTGGAGAAGATCATCTCCTGTAAGCAGTCAGACAACAGCCAGTTGGTTAGTGAAGGTGGGTGAGTGCTGATGATACCTGGTAAAATAACTTGTCTTGAAATACTTTGAGTTTACATTTATCTTCTATAAGTAAACAAAATAATTGTTTCTTTATAACATTTTCATTATTGTAAATTTCTTAGATAGAAATTCTAAAAATATAAGTGGTGGCTCTTGTAGGAATTAAGAGAAGCATTACATGCAGGAGAGGATCCTTCTCAAGCCATCTTCAACTGACTGTAAAATCAGGGCAGGGTGCTAAGACCAGACTTTGGATCACTTGCAGCTTTGGTGAGATCAGATGTCCAATGATTACTACTTGTGCTTACTAAGTAGATTGTGTTACTGTCCCTGAACCCTCATCTAAAGAGCTTATATGTATTTCCCACAGTGTCTCAATGCAGTTCTGTATTAAAGCCTCATTCTGGAACATGAGTAACTGACTGAAATTACTAAATTCACTGTCATAGAGACAGGTCAATATTTTTTCAGGGTTTTCCTCCTTTAAAGCCCCTCCCACTCACAAGAGTTCTTTGCCACTTTTCCTCAGTAAATCTACAAATACCCTACTTTAAAAAACATACATTTTTCAGATGTGCTTCAATTAATAGTCAGTAAAAAGATTTGAAACTAGAATGCTCTCAGGTTGGAAGTCATTTCAATAAACTTTCACCACCATTCACTCCATGGTTTCATACAAAAACATAGTGAAGCTGAAATTCTCCTTCCTTAGCATGGAAAAAGAAAAGAAGGGAAAATCAAAATAAGCAGGGGCAGGGGATGAGTCCCCCACTCTCACTCAGATACAGTCCTTCAAAATGCAGCACAATAAAGATTATAGTTAACAAATTTTTATAAATTAAAGCTAGTGAGTATAAGGATATATAATAGGCTAGGGGCTGGGCAAGGTAGCACATGCCTTTAATACCAACACTCAGAAGGCAGAGGCAGGAAGATCTCTGTGAGTTTGAGGCCAGCCTGGTCTACAGTGCAAGTTTCAGTACAACCAGGTCTAGACAAAGAAACCCTTTCTCAAAAACAAACAAACAAAAGAATGGACTAGGCTAGGGAGATGACTCAGTTGGTAAAATTCCTCTTGTGTAAGACTGTAAATAGGCGTTTCTCTCCTGCCCACCATTCAGATATAACCTCTCAGAGACTTATTAGTTATGTTTGTCCAATGACTCAGGATTATTACTAGCTAGCTCTTATGTGTAAATTAACCCATTATTTCTTTTCTATACTTTGTCATATGGTTCATAGCTTGTTACCTAATTTTCTACATGTCTTGTTTCCTCCATGATTGACTGGCATCTCCCAGATTCTGTCCTTCTTCTCCTCTATCTCTGCTTGGATTTCCTGCCTGGCTCTATTCTGTTTTTCCATATGCCAAATCAGCTTTATTTATCAACCAATGAGAGCATCATATAATCACAGAATACAGAAAGATATCCCACAGCATAAGACCTATGTTGGATTTCCTGCATCCCAACATAAAAACTAAGTACTTTGAAGACAGAAGCATCCTAGGAGCCAGTCTAGCTAAATTACTGAGGACCCTGTCTCAGACGCAAGTGGATAGCAACTGAGAAAGACACTCTAAACCAACCTCTGGTCATCCACAGGAACATCACACATACCAAAGAACAACAACAAAAACACTTGTTGGAGGAGGCTGCTAGTTAGTTCCCAGCTGCTTAACCCTGAAATAATCACACAGAAACTATATTATTTAAATCACTGCTTGGCCCATTAGCTCTAACTTCTTATTGGCTAACTCTTATATATTAATTTAACCCATCTCCATTAATCTGTGCATCACTACAAGGTTATGGCCTACCAGCAAAGTTTCAGTTCATCTGTCTCTGGCAGCAGCTCCATGGCTTCTCTCTGACTCCACCCTTCTTTTTCCCAGCATTCAGTTTAGCTTTCCCCACCTAGCTCTGTTCCCTTATAGATCTGCTATAGGCCCAAAGCAGTTCCTTTATTAACCAATGGTAATCACAGAATACAGAGGGAAATCCCACATCACCTTCCCTTTTCTGTTTAAATACAAAGAAAGGTTTCAACTTTAACATAGTAAAATTACATATAACAAAACATATATCGAGCAAGAATTACAATTACAATATTTATATTTTCTTTATCTTTTATCATAACTAAGGAAAACTATATAAATTCTTCAACTCCATCAAAAACTCCAGAAGAATATATTATCTATGTAAACAGGAAGTACATTGTAAGCAACTTCTAATACTCTAAAACTAGTAGAGATATCTCGCTGCCTGGACAGTCACCCAAAGTTTTTCTGTATTGTTGGGGCATCCATCTTCAGCCTGCAGGCCCATAATATCTGGTAGACTTTTCCATGAAGCAGGAAATTTCAAAGACAGTTCCACCTATATTGGCAGTTTGTCAGTCACTTTCATCTGTATCCTGCAGAATGTCTAGCTGACTCTTTCATGAAGCAGGAACCCTAAAGGACAGTCTCACCTGTAGGTAAGTTCAGCAGTCATTTCTCTGTGGGTTCTGCATGTTAAGTTATGAAGCAGCCCAGGCAAGAGCAATTTCTTGCCCAAATGGCTAACAGACTCCATAAGGAGCCTCTTCAGTGCCCATCTTCCTCTTGAAGTAGCTTGGTGCTGTCAGGAAAAGTCCTAAATTCTTAAACATTTTAAATGTCATATTCTGTAGTCTTTGAAAGGTTTGAAGAATGCCTAGCCACCTGAAATATATCTGTACATCTAGAAAATCTAAGTAACATGACTACAAGCTTGACTATTATAGATGATTTTCTATTAACCTATATTCCTTAATTATACCTTACATTTCTAAATTAGCTGCACAAATACAATACCTTAATCAAGATCAGAAATACATATATATAGTATAACAAAATTGACCTTAAATTTGTATCAATAAACCAAGATACATACCAATGCAAATCTCTACAACATATTCCCCTTTAAATGTAAACAAACATTTATAGACAATATTTTGGAATATGGGCATACTTCTTCTCCAAACTGCTTCCTGCTGTTTATTGGGCAAAGTAATCTTTTGAGGAGTGTTCAAGGCAACCTTTTAGGGGATCTTGGTCCATTAAACCACATTAGTCTGGAAGCAATCCACAGCTTATCATCTTCTGTGGAAACAAAAGAAGAACCTCTTTTCCAAAGCAACATAATCCTTAGACTCGAATTTGGAAGTCATGATACCTTTAGAACATATGCTGGTTTAGCTTAGCAGCCCATACAATGAAATGTCTCTCTCTACTTAGTTCCTTTACAGTCAAAAAATTCAAAGAAAACACTATAATATACATAATCCAGACTCTTTGTGTATCCTTCATCTTTACCTGGCTTATTTTTCTTTACTCCTTTTACTTATGACTGTCTATACAGTTTCTTTAAAGACTTTGTTTTATATTTTTTATAAACCATTTACTTCCTTTTATAACTCCCTATACTTTTCTTCTCTCTCCCAAGCCTACATACATTTATCCAACACCGTGACCCATTTAGAGGTCCTTTCCATCTGAATTTGTCTTTATTGTGTATCTGTAATTCTTTACTGTCAAGGAGCCCTTCTTAAAATGCTAAACACTTCTTAAAAACTTAAGCTGAGGCATTACTAGGGTATATATGTCCCTGCCTTCTTTTTTAAAAAATATTTATTTATTATGTATACAATATTTTGCCTGTGTGTATGCCTGAAGGCCAGAAGAGGGCACCAGACCCCATTACAGATGGTTGTGAGCTACAATGTGGTTACTGGGAATTGAACTCAGGACCTTTGGTAGAGCAGGCAGTGCTCTTAACCTCTGAGCCATCCCTCCAGCCCCCTGTCCCTGCTTTCTTACTCTGCACAGTTCAACATGGTGGAAGTTCGTTCACTACCTTTGCAAGCCGTACACATTGCCCTAGTTCCAAGTATGTAGCAGCTCTATGTTGAGCCATTAAGCAGTTTGTAATATGCTGCTTAGAAACCCCATTTAAATGCTCAGAGCTCCTGAAAGAGCTGGCAGCAAGGCCCAGAAAGCTGGCATTTCAAAACCGCAGCTTTTTTTTTGTATTTATGTATTATTACATATATTTATTAAATGTTATTCTAAGGCTTTCTTTTAAACATTGAGAGAGAGAGAGAGAGAGAGAGAGAGAGAGAGAGAGAGAGAGAGAG